GCTCGGGACCTCTTGCGGGCCTCCTGGAGGGCTTCTGACGGGCCTCTGAGGGGCCTGTTGGGGACTGCGGGCCGCACTGGGCGCCATGATTCTTCCGAGATCTCCCGCAGATGCGGTAAGGACCTTCCCTGCCTGGCGCTGTCGGGCCCGATACTGGGCACCCACAGTTTCGAAGTCGTGGAAGCACTCCCGGGCAGAAAGGGCCATACCGTCGGGGGGGGGGGCACTTCATGCACGTGGCCGGGTGCTCGTGCGTCCTTGTGGAGGCCGGCGAGGGTTGGCTGGGTGCCAGGGAGCTCATCGCCATCGTCGTCGTTACAACATCGTTCGTATCGTCAACGTTTCCGTCGTCGTTGAGATTGTCGTCGTCGTCGTCGTCCTCTTCGACATCCTCCTCGGAGCGTCCTCGGAGCGTCCGCGTCGTCGTCGTCGTCGTCATCGTCGTCGTCGTCGTCTTCTGGGGGAGGCGTGGACCTGACGCCGCACCTCGGCGCTGCCGTCGCCGACGCCGGCGCAGCGGCGGCGGGCGCCGGCGCAGCGGCGGCGGGCCACGTGGACAGCCACGTGTCGAACGCGGGGGGGGGGGGTCAGGGGCAATCATACGTTGCCGAAGAAGACAGAACGGTCTAAGCAGAACTTTCGACGGTCCGGGCGGATTTCTTTGATTTGGATTGGACCCCCCTTTTTCGGCGCCTCAGGCGTCACGCCTTGTGCTCTCCGCGCGCCAGGGAGAGCCCGTTTCTTTTTTGCTTGGGGCATGACGGGCGTCATGGCCCCCGCTCCCCCCCTCCCCCCTATGACGTAACGCTCACTCCCCAATGCGCTCCGGGCACTGCCGCCGTGCGTTTTGGGATCAGCGTAGGTGTCCGCGTAGGAATCCGCGTAGGACTCTGGTCCGCAGTCGTCGTCGTCGTCGTCGTCGTCATCGTCATCGTCGTCGTCGTCGTCGTCGTCGTCGCTCGTGGCTTGTCGCTCGTCGCTCATAGTCGTCGTGCGCGCGGACGCGGCTGAAGCCTGTTTTGTATTCGGGGCCGATGACGGCAGTCATCTGGGGGGAGGGGGTCGATGTCGTCACGTTTCGCGCCGGCGGCGTCTGGTAATGCTTAGGAATGACGGAGGACGGGATGCGCCAGCATGTAGGTGGCGATTTGCACCACAACGCTTGTGTACACCACATTGCCTGCGTGCACCACAGCGCATGTGTACACCACACCGCCGATGTACACCACAGCAGCCGCGTGAAACACAGCGTCAGTTGGTGCTGCCGTGTTTGCGGGCACAACTGCTCTCGTGCACACCGCAGCGCTTGCGTGCACCACATCAGCCTTGTGAGACACAACGCCACTGCACACCACAATGCCTGCGTGCATTGCAGGGCTTGTGTGCACCACGGCGCCTGTGTGCACAGCAGCAACCGTGCGCAACACGACACCACTTTTGCATTTAGAATGTGATAGCGAATTCTTTTGACAAGATGGAGCGCTTCTGGATTCCACAGAAAACAATATAAACCAATCATCATGGAGAACGGAGCGCCGCTGGAATCCACGAGTCCTCCGGAGTCCGCCTGCATCACCCCAATTCCTCCCATCTGCGTCCAGGAGGCTCGAGCTTAACCGGGTACCCACGATAATAATGTATTCCCCCCCTATACACGTAAGATTTGATTATCCACGGCCAATCGGAGTTTGGTCGGGGGCGCGGGGGCGCGGAGGCCGAACTGCATTATCACTGTGAAATGTTCGCCATCGAGGTTACTTCCTTCTTATGTTGAGATAGCAACACCAAGCGAAACAAGCATACACTCGAGGATGTCTCAAGCGAAACAAGCATACACTGAAGGACGTCTCGAGCGAATCAGTACGTTTCTTAAGGATGTTTCCTTCTCCTCTCCTCCTCCTCCTCCTCCTCCTCCTCCCCCTGGCGCCCTGAACTTGTTTATCGCTGTGGTTGATTATCTTGGGGAAACGAGGCAGATGAGCCACCCTACACGAGCAGATGAAAATCTTAATTCCCATGAAGCGCTTACAAATAAAATCTAATAAGTTTTGAACTTTGGATTTTTTTCTTCGTCCTTCTCATCTTCCTCTCCTCTCTCTCTCTCTCTCCGTCTCTCTCTCCCTCTCTATGTTTTTCATGTTCTTTCTCAACCTACTTCTCTCTTTCTCTCTGTCTCTCTATCTGTCCTCTGTCTCTCTTTCTCTTTCTCTTTCGTTCTCTCTCTCTCAACCTTTCTCCTTCTTCCCGTGCCCCCCTGAACTTTTTTATCGCTGTTGTTGATTATCTTGGGAAAACGAGGCAGATGAGCTACCCTACACGAGCAGCTGAACATCTTACTTTCCGTTAAGCGCTTACAAATAAAATCTAATAGGTTTTGATTTGTGTATTGTTGTTTCCTCCTCCTCCTCTCCTTATCCTGCTCGTTTCTTCTCTTTCTCTCTGTTTATATGTGTCTAAATCTTGTCGAGGATGTCTCAAGCGAGACAAGCCATTGTTGAGGATGTCTCAGAGAATGTCTCAAGATATCTTCGGCTTTGGCTCCTCTGTTAACATCTTTATGCTGGTCCTGGTGGGCAACTTTTATTATCACACCGTAGCCGCCGAACTTTATTCTCCCTGGGTTTTTTTTCTCGGCTGTACTTGGTTAGTTTGCCGTCCGGGAACCAAGTGGACCGAGTCAATGGACCATTCGGTGGGGCGCGCGGAGATGCGCACGTGCGCTGTGGCGCCAACCCGCATGACAGGGGGAGGAGGAGGAGGAGGAAGAGGAGGAGGAGGAGGAGGAGGAGGAGGGGGTGGAGGAGGAGGAGGAAGAGGAGGAGGAGGAGGAGGTGGTGGAGGTGGAGGAGGAGGGAGGAGGGAAGAACGTCGCATTCGATTATCAGCATGTTTCTGGCGTGGCGTCTAGTTATCCGCAGCAGATTCTCACGTACATGCTCCTTCTACCTATGCGCGAAGGCATTGTGGTGTACACCAGCGCTGCGTTGCACGCGGATGCTGTGGTGTAGACGCGCGGTGTGGCGTGCACAGGCGCTGCACGCAAACACTGTGGTGTGCACAGGCGTTGCGTTGCACATGGTAGCTGCGGCGTGCACATGTACAACGGCGCTGTAGCGTACGCAAGCAGTGTGGTGTACACAGGCGTTGCGTTGCACACGGTTGTTGCGGTGTACGCAGGCGCTGTGGTATGCACGCGCGTTGTGGTGCACGCGGGCGTTGTGGTGTACGCAGGCGCGGTGGGGCATATCGCCACTTACATTCTGCTCGCGTCGTCGTCGTCGAGGTCGTCGTCGTCGTCGTCGTCGTCGTCGTCGTCGTCGTCGTCGTCCTCGTCGTCGTCCTCGTCGCTCGTCGCTCGTCGCTCGTCACTCGTCGCGTCGCGCGCGCGGGCGCGGCTGCGGTGCCGGAGCCACACGGCGGGAGGGGGGCGTTACGTCATACCCCCCCTTCGCCCGCCCCCCCCCGCTCATGACGCCCGTCATCGCCGAACATAAAGAAACGCGTTCGGAGGGGGTTTCAGCGCAAGTCCATGAAATGCACGGACCTTTGAAATGATGTGTTTGTGCAGATTTGTTGTATCTCTAGTTAACTAGAGGGTGATACTGTCGGGATTTTTTGGATGGCGTGTCGCGCCGTTGGTTCCAAACCACCGCGCTGCGGCGCGACACGCTGTCCATTTGCCGGGAAGCATCGGCCCCCAATCGGCCATTCATCGCCGATGGTGGCCCGATAGGCCGCCCCTCCCATGAGCATGCGGATTTGCGATTGAGAGCATATCTCCGATCTATCGGCGATGTATCGACGATTCCAGCTCGATGTTTCCCGCCCCCACCGCGCTGGCCCCCTTCCTATCGTCGCCCCTCAGGGGAGAGTCGTGTCGGCTTCGAGAAGCGGATCGGGTCGGTTGGACAGGGGCGAAGCAGGGAAGGGGGGGATAGGTAGATGGGGGGGGGATCCAGGGAGGGATGGGGGGTTGGAGGGTAGGGAAGGGGACCCTCGGCGGTCCGGAGTTCAGTCGGGCACGTCCCTCCACAGGGGCAATATGATCGCAGGCCTAGAGTTCAGTCGGGCCTGTCCGTCAACAGGAGGGATATTCAAAAATAGTACAAAAACGTCCGGGGACTATTTTTTGAGTATTTTTGGGCATCTGTTGAATTTGTTTTGAGTATTTTTCATTTTTCGTCGAAAACCCCCCTGTAGGGGGACACGCCCGACTTAACCCTCGGCGGTCCAGAGTTCAGTCGGGCATGCCCCTCTACAGGGGGAATCTGATCGCAGGCCTAGAGGTTGACACCAACACCAATATCGGCGGTGTGCCTCCACAGAGGGAAGAGGATCCCGATCTCGGCGATGGTGGTAATATTCTGGCTTCCAAGGTGGCCGAACTATTACCACCGAGACCGAAATCGAGGATCATCTTCCCCCTGTGGAGGCAACCCCCTGTGTTGGTGATGGTGCCAATTGCCAGGCCTCCAATATTAGTCTGGGGATGATTTTCCTAGTTTTTTTGTCCGTAACGGCTTCGCCCCATGCCGCCGGCCCCCTGTCTCCGATAATGGGAGATGCAAAAACTAAATCATGGGGTCTGGGCGCCGCCGTGAAGCAGTGTCGGGACCTGGTTGTTTTTCCACCCTGACCCTGCGGATCTGCATGAGGGGTGCCACCGAATGTCAGAAATGTGGCAAAGTCCTGTGTTTTCGGACCCTGACCCCGCCGATCTGCGTGAGGGGTGCCATCGAATTTCACAAGTATGGCTAATTCCTGTGTTTTTGGACCCCCTGCCGAGCTGCCTGAGTGGTGCGACCGAATTTTACATGAGGAGTGCCACCGAATTCCAGAAATGTGGCACATCCCATGTGTTTTTGCACCCTGACCCCGCTGATCTGCGTGAGGGGTGCCACCGAATGTCAGACATGGAGCAAATCCCATGTGTTTTTGGACCCTGACCCCGCCGATCTGCGTGAGGAGTGCCAGCAAATTTTAGAAATGTGGCAAATCCCATGTGTTTTTCAACCCTGACCCCGCCGATCTGCGTGAGGGGTGCCACCGAATTCCAGAAATGTGTCAAATCCCATGTGTTTTTGGACCCTGACCCCGCCGATCTGCGTGATGGGTGTAAAGTGTCACCCACCCCAGCAATTCAGAGCACACGCTCAGGGCGTGCTAAACCTGCCCGTTTGGGCCTCCCCCCCCCTCGCGCGGTCCATCAAGAAGGAACAGTAAGCAGCAATAAGGAGAATTGTAACAGTGGAAACTGGTACAGGAAACTGCGAACCTTCGGCCTACAGCCTTGTGGCCCCACAAGGGGGCCGGCGGATATGTTTGAGAATTTTGGACTACTTTTTATTTGTCCTCGAAGCTCCGCCTGTAGGAGGACATGCCGGACTTGAGACCAGCCGCGTGAGCCGATTCTCGGTGGTCCAGGGATGGGGTCCTGAGGGAGGGGGTCTTCCCTGAGATCCTGGCGTTTTCGCTTCGTTTCGGAGCCCGAGGACCTCACACAGGTCGTTCGGGCTTGAAGAATGACGCAGGAGGATTTGGTCTGGCGCTGCGGCTTGTGTTTTTTGTTGCGAGGTTACAATTGTTTGGCAACGTCGGATCTCGGGGCTAGTCGGCGGCGGGCAAGGGGGGGAGGTGAGAAGGGGCGGGCCTCGTCAGAAGGCTCGGCATCTCCCTGGACCTTCTGAAAAGTGTTCTAGGCCTTCCCCGAACAATTACACAGAAAGCTGCTTAGAAGGCGCGAGGGCTTCGAAGAAGCCCCACACCTTCTGAGGAGACCTTCTCCTTCTCACTTTCCCCCGCTCGCCGCCGACCTAAGGACGAGGATCCGTTCCTATTCTTAGGGCCCCATCCCTCAGGACCCCATCTTGGAACCACTGAGATTCGCTAACCCTCCTGTTGGTCCGACCCGAAAAGATCTCGTGGCGGATAGTTGTCCTCGATCAGTCGAGTACTGTCATCGTGCCACCGTGAGGAACGCACAGCCAGGAAGGAAGGGGCGTTTCTGGCCGCGCGGGCTGAGGACGCGAGCAGAGCCTACGGCATACGTCCGAGGAGGTGCCCTACCACCCGAGCCCATCCTGAGCCCAGAGTGGTCTTCCTTTCAGCGTCTTGACTGTAATCGCTTTTCCGGGCAATCGGGAAGGGTGCTTTTTGCACAGCGGAGGAGGAGGAGGAGGATCAGGGGGGAGGACGTGGAGCGGATGGCAGGAGCAGAAGGATCAGGAGCAGCAGGAGCATCAGGGTGAGGGCGGAGGAGGGGAAAGGAGGAGGACGACAGCGACGAGGAAGGAATCGGATCCAGACATGTTGCTCGCGCCGGGGCGAGAGCGCCATTTTCAACGGCAGGAGCAGAGTAACGATCTTGATATGTGATCAGCGCTGAAGCGGGAACACGGTTGCCGAGGGGCCGAAGACGTGCCGATCGACAACAGCACCTGCACTACACCAGCTGGCGAGGTCCTGCCTGTGGGGAACATGCGCGAGGGGAGGCGGGGGCAGGCTGGCACCTCGTTAGCGGCGAGAGGAGAGCAGGATCCCTAGTGAAGCGGGTGTGCAACGGCGGACAGGGGGCGGGAGGAAGAAAGGGAATTCTGCGGGTGGATTGAGACTCTCTTTTTCCTCCTCCTCCTCCTTCCTGATGCACGGCAGGGAGGAGCCTCCCCCTTCCCCCGGACTGCCTGGTCGGGTTACAGTGCCGGCTTCGTTCGGCTCATCCGAGTCCGAGCTCCTTAGGGTGAATGCCTTGGGGGAGCTTTCCGTCACCGAGGGCTCGGACGAAGGACATGGAGCTTCGGACGGCGAGCTCTTCTGAGTCGGTACCAGCCTTTCAGGCGACCACCACCACCACCTCCTCGTCCTCCTCCTCCTCCTCCTCCTCCTCCGCCTCCTCCCCCTCCTCCTCCTCCTCCTCCTCCTCCTCCTCCTCCTCCTCAAACCTCCTCCTCCTCCTCCTCCTCCTCCAACCTCCTCCTCCTCGTCCTCCTCCTCCTCCTCCTCCTCCTCCTCCTCCTCCTCCTCCTCTGCCTGCCCTGGGCCAGCGTGGTCGCGCCCCGGCGCGGGTGGGCGGCTCGATCGGCGAACTCACGCGGCCCTGCTCAGCCCCCCTCCGCCTGGGCCGGGCAGCGCCCCCAGGCAGGCCTCATGATCGCCTCAGCTGAGGCACAGAGGAGCAGTCGGATGGGGCCGTTGCTGCCGACGTTGCCCCCGCCTTGGGCGCCTGGCTGCCCTAAGACAGGCGATCGCAGACATGGATCAAGGGGGCGTGGGATTAGCGACGGGTCCCGCTTCCATGGGACATTGCGGATTTCTGCCGCCGAGCCAGGGGGCATCGCCGAGCCAGGGGGCATCGGCCACATTTTGGGGAGGGCACCTCCCCCGATCCACATTTGCGCGCCCCCGGCCGAATCACGTGCCCAATAATATATCTGGCGGCGCGATTCGTTAGAGACGCCTCGGGCTGCCATTTGATAGCACGCCTGGCCAGGAAGGAGCAGAAGGGGGAAGCCCATGGGGAGGGAGCGGGCGAACACCGAGACCACCTCGGGCGTGCGCGGGGACCGCCACGCGGACCTCTCGACCCTCTTCTCGCGTGGGCTGTGTTTCATCGATCCCGCGCCGATCTTTCCGACGCCCCCCTCTGCCCAAAAGCCGGCCTCCAAGAGGGACGTGGACCTGCAAAGCGTGAATTGTTGGCCCGGCATCCTCGGTCCGATTTCAGATTGGACGTCGCGCAGTGGGGGGCGATGCATGGGGGGCAGCGAGGGCTGCAGAAAAAGGGAAGCGACGCCCGACAAGAGTGACGTGGACCTGCAGAGCGTGCATCGCTGGCCAGGCATCCTCGGTCCGATTTCAGATTGGACGTCGCGCAATGGGGGGCAATACATGGGGGGGGGCAGCGAGGTCCGCAGAGAAAAAGGGAAGCGACGCCCGACAAGAGGGACGTGGACCTGCAGAGCGTGCATCGCTGGCCGGGCATCCCCGGTCCGCTCGAGAATCGGGCGGGTGGCAGGGGGGGGGTGACCGGTGTGGCCCACCTGTGGGGTGGTGGAGAGTGCCCTAACTGGGGCCCTTTCGGGCCCCTTTTGGAGCCAGCCGGTGCCCCAAAGGGCACTCTTTAGCCACCATTGTGGGCCATCCCCCTTCACCACACGCCCGAGAGTCCAGCAGTGGCGAAGCGTCCCGGCTCGCCTACAGGCCCGCCAAGTAATGTTCTAAGAACCTTTTCGTGGTCTGCGCGGAAGGTTCTTCGAGCATTTCTGGCTGGGACTGTCTCGATTTTGGCACGTCGGGCCTATGTTCTAAGAACATTGTTTTTGTTATTGGAACACTGCTGGCATCTAAGAGGATTTCGTGGTAGGACTCTAGGAATGCCGCGACGGTCGGCCCCTGCCCAAGAGAGAAGCCGACCGTCTGCATCGAGGCACGGGCCCACAGCGCGGGGAAGGCCGACCGACCACCTCGCCGATCCTGGCGAGCCTGTCTTGGGCCCAGGACCGGTGCATACATACGCTTCCTTGGCTTGGAGGAGAAGGAGTAGGAGGAGGAGGAGGAGGAGGAGGAGGAGGAGGAGGAGGAGAGCGGAGGAGCAGCAGGAGGAGGAGGGGGAGGAGTGGAAGACAGGAGGAGGAGAGGGGAGGGGGAGGGGGAGGGGGAGGAGGAGGAGGGGAGGGGGAGTGACGAGCAAGAAGAGAAGGGGGAGGAGAGAGGGAGGGGGAGGGGGAGGGGGAGGGGGAGGGGGGGGAGGGGGAGGGGGGAGGAGGAGGAGGAGGAGGAGGAGGAGGAGGAGGAGGAGGAGGAGGAGGAGGAGGAGGAGGAGGAGGAGGAGGCAGAGGAGGAGGGCAGGAGGAAGGAGGAGGAGAAGGGGTAGGGGGAGGGGGGCAGGAGGAGGAGGCAGGAGAGGGGGAGTGACGAGCAAAGAGGATGGGGGGAGGAGGAGGGGGGAGGAGGAGGGGAGGAGGAGGAGGAGGAGGAGGAGGAGGAGGAGGAGGGAGGAGAGGAGGAGGGAGGAGGGGGAGGGACGAGCAGAAGGAGGAGGGTGAGGAAGAGCAGTGGGCCAAGCAGTGGCGACGCGTCCTGGCCTGCCTCCGGGCCCATCGCACGAAAAGGTGACTAGAACATGTGTGGTCGAGCTTGTCTTGGTTTAACAAATCGTGCTTGTGCTATAAGTGCCGTGTTCTGGTTCTTCGAACACTTGTTGGTTCTAAGAATAATTCGTGGTACAGCTGTGGGAATGCTGGGACGGCCGGATCCTGCTCAAATGGGGGGGGGAGCAGCAGGAGTAGGAGGAGGAGGAGGAGATTCCGGGCCGCTACGAGCCCGACAGCCGAGGCAGCGCGAACGCGGATTCGCGCCGCGTGGATGAGGGACGGGCCCCGTTTTCGTCCAGCATGGGCGCGTTCCGTGCTTGTGCCCGAGACATGCCCGGGTAAGACGGCTTGGAGGAGGAGGAGGAGGAGGAGGAGGAGGAGGACGAGGAGGCGGAAATGGCGGAGGAGGAGAGGGAGGGGCGGGTGGAGGAGAAGGAGGAGGAGGAGGCGGAAGAGGCGGAGTCAAGACCTCCGCCGCGAAAGCCTCCCCGGTCGAGCTCCGAAACGTACCGCTTTTGGGGCGAGGCGCACGGCGCTGGGGACCCTTGCTGCTTCGGAGACGGGGCCCCCTCCGCATTGGGCTGTCGACTCCTCCGATTCTATTCGACTCGATTTCGCTGGCTTCCGATTCCGATTTGATTCGACTTCGGATTCCGATTCGGGTTCCGCTTCCTTCTGGGAGGCCCACTGGCCTGCCGATGCCTGCCGATCCAACTTTTCCCGACGTGGCTGCCTGCTTCCTCCGATCCGATGTATTTCGATCGCCGATCCGACTCATCGATTTGTTGCTGTCCTCGCCCCCCCCTTGCCCGACCAGCGCCGCACGGCTGGGCAGGCCCTCGGGTGGGCCGGCGGCGTCGCTGGCCACGTCCACCACCACGCCAAGAAGGCGGCGTCGGCCACCGTGCAGGAGTGGGCCTCTCGTGATGGGCCTGCTTCCCACCGCTGCCACCATAAGCAGGAGGGGGGACGGAGATGGAGGAGGAGGAGGAGGAGGAGGAGGAGGTGGAGGAGGACGAGGAGGAGGAGCCCCCCCTGTCTACTTCTCGTGTTGGCGGTGGAAAGCAAGCCCACCATTTAGCTGGCATGGTTTCTGGCAGGGAACAGCTCATAGCAGAAACATCAACTGTCGGAAGTCCGTGCGGCTTTCTCGGATTGGCGCTGGAGCCCCCTGTCGGCGCCTCCGGCGCCGCCCCTGGCGCGCGGAGCGCGCCAGGGACGGAGAGGCAGCGCCCATCCAGGCGGTCCGCGTGGGCCTCCGAAAATTTATGCTCATGTCACGATTTGTTCCGCGACGTTTCGCGCGGGTCGACAAAGGGTCGGGCGAAGAGAACTATGCACATGCACGCACCGATCCTGGCAAGGCCCATCCTTGACCCAGGATCGGTGCATGTGCCTTCCCGGCCAAGGCAGGAGGGCGTATGCACCGATCCTGGGCTCAGGAGGGGCCTGGCCAGAATCGGTGTATGTGCATAGTTCTCTTTCCTCTCAAGGGGGACACACAGACACAATGAATCGTCGACTCCCAGGAAACATGGGAATCTGTGGGAAGTGGGGGGGGGGGATACGTAGACACAAACCCATGGGGAATCCTTGTATTTGTGTGCATTTGTTTGCGTATCCCACGCAGCACTTGAGGATGGTGCTTTCGATGCGCCGTCGACGGCAACACCACACCGCTCACCCTCCAGGACTTCGCCTCCGGCTCCTGGCCAAGGTGTTCCTTTTCCTGTGCAAGATCCTCAGCACGGCCTGCACCCCACGCCCTCTGGCCGCCTGAGGCCCCGCCCGCCTGTGCTCTGTCTCCCCAATTAGTGCTTTGCGCGGCCCGCCTAGCTCTTGACCGGAAGAGGCTCGCTCTCGACCCGCCGACCAAAAATTGCTTGCGTGTCCCAGGGCTCCGCGGGGCACCCCCAGGCTTTGCCTGCGCGCTGGAGGCCGCGCACCCCGCGAGGTCGCCCGTGCCCGGCGCCCCTCCCCGCCTGCCTTGCCGGGGCAGGGCCCGCCGGCGGCCCCCTCGCCGCCGGCGCTGTCCCGCGCCCGCGCCGCCGCCACGGGCGCCCCTCGCCCTTCCGGGGTGCCCAAGGGGGCCCCAGGGAGGCCAGCATCACGGCCAAAGAGGCCGCAGGTTTGGCGGCCCCCTCGCCGCCGTCGTTGTCCCGCGCCCGCTCCGCTGCCACGGGCCGGGCGAAGGGGGGGGGGAAGGGGAAAGGGGGGGGGGCACGAAAGTTGCTGCACGCAGCTGGTCTCGGCCTCACCGAGGGGCCCATTCCTCGATGCATGGCCGCCTCCGTCGCCGGGGGGCGCCGGGAAAAGCAGCCATACTTGAGCTGATTCTCGCCCCCCCCCCCTTTTGCTATTATCCCCCCCTTTCGCCCGACCCGAGCTGCCACGGGCTCCCCTCGCCCTTCCGGGGCGCCCAAGAGGGCCCCAATTGGAGGCCAGCAGTGCAGCCAAAGAGGCCGCAGGTTTTGGAGCTGCGTCCGGGGGGGGGGGCACGCAGGAGTCCGAGGCTCATGGGAACGGCTGGTCTTGGGCCATTTTCGGCTTCTGGGGGCCCCCAGCGGGCCCCGGGACGATAAAACATCGAAGATTCAGGATGACAAGCCGGCAGGGAAGAAGTTGTCCAGACCTCAGGGGAGCGATGCGGAAAGACAGGATGGGCTCACGGGGCGGGCGGGGGCGGGGGGGGCTGCGTCGACCCCGAATCTGGTTGATTTTCCAATCCTTGACACCAGGCAGAATGTCGAGCCTCACAGAAGGTATCGACACTGGACGAGTTTCACGTGTCGGACCCTGGGAGTCGAGATTCGCTCGGCATGTCGCCAGCGTATCTGACAGGCGCTGTTTCGGTAGTTTTCGGGGTGCTCGAAATTATTTCTGGGATGGCGCCCATGAGTGCGATGGGAACAACATAACCCGAATCGGCCATTCATCGCCGACGGGGGCCCGATAGCCCGGCGGGGCCGAGGGGATGCGCTATCGGGGGCCCGTCGCCGATCAATCGGCGGTGCATCGCCGATGCACGCTCGATCTCCCCCATCGCAGCTGCCCCCCCCCCTGACGTTGCTCCTGAGGGGAGGGTCGTGTCGTCTTCGAGCATCGGGACGGACCACCGGGCCGGATGGATGGGGGCGGAGTAGGGAAGGGGCGGAGCAGGGGAAGAGGGGGGGGGGGGGGTCAGGTGACAGTGGGGGATTCGGGTTTGGGGGGGGGGTAGCTGCTGCTCGGTTTTGCTTCCTCGAGCCTGCTCTTTGCTCCTTGCAGCCAAGCCGCATCACACGAGGACCAGTTGCAGAGGACCAGCATTCCTTTGCCTCTCGGCCCATCCTGGCCCCCGGCTGGCTGCCACGAGCTCCCAGCTTCGGCGTCGGCTCGGGCGTCCAAGGGCCCTGCCTCTTTCCGCGCTGGTGGTTGAAAGCAGGTACGGGGGGGGCACTGGTTGAGGAACGTGCTCAGGAGGCTTCAGACCCTGGAGGGGTCCTTCTCTGATGGGTGATAACCATGGCCAATCCACGATTGGCTTTCCACTGGCTTCCAGACCTGGATTCCCTAGCGACGGCTTCCTCATCTGATGCCATCACCGCATTTCTGGACTTAGCTGTTCGAAACATCGCAGGAAACGTTTTTTGTATCGTGTTCGACGTGTCGCTTGGGACTCGACCACAACGTGTTGGTAAATACGACCCCTCCCCGCACTTGTGCGTGCTGGCGATCCCCGACTTCCCTGCCCCCCCCACCATCCAGCTGTGGGGGCGGCAGTTTTGAGGAACGTGCCCAGGAGGCTTCAGACTCTGGTGTTAAGTCGGGCACGTCCCTCTACAGGAAGCATCTTCGACCAATGTTGTGGCATCTTCGATCATTTTGAACATTTCGGGGTATTGTTCATTTTTCCTCCAAGACCAGCTTGTAGGAGGACACGATCGACCTAACCCTGGCGGGTTCCTCACTGATACGGGCGGCCAGGACATCCGTGGCCAATCCACATTTGGAGATTCATCGGCTTCCGGGCCCCGGATCTCTTGTCTGGTGGTTCCTTCTCCAATGCCCTCACCGTTCCCCCCGTCCCTGTCCCATCTTGACGAGCACCCCACCTCCCGATCCGGGTGGCCGTCGGCCAGGGCCCAAGCGTCCCCCGCACCATCACTGCCAGAAAGCGCATGCTATGGCAGATGCTGGACCACCTGCGGGAACCCAACCGTACGTTCTGCCTGGGCTTGTTGACATGGGCGACAGCGCCGTCATGAAATTTCATCATGTACTCCCGCCCACCATGGCTGTCAAGACTCAGTACAAATCCACGTCACCAGCCGAAGCGATGTCCCAGTCCGCGCCCTCGAGGACTCAGACTTACACTGTTCCATTAAAGCTCTAGCAGTGCCAGAGCCATGGTTCGGGGGTGACCAGAGTCCCAGGGCAGGCAATCGAGGCAAGGGACAGTCACAGGACACACTCCCCCCAGCACCGACGGCGTGGACCGTTGGAAGCGCGATCGCAAGCCAATATTCATGCATCTGGTTGCCTTCGGCCCACCTCGCCACCGTGCCTCGGTTGTGGGTATGAAGGCTACTGGATATTCGTTGGGATCTCGTGGGAGGACTCTCGGGGGCCTCTTGGGAGCAGGAAGTGGCCGATAGGTAAGAATGTCTAGTCTTCAAGATGGCAAGCTCGCCGCCTCATCTCCGTACAGATCCGAACACCCGAGCTGGCTTGGCCAACTTATAGCTTCTGGTAGCGAGTGCACGTTTAAGGCGAGGTTGGTATTTGCATCTTGGTGGTTCATGGCCTAAGCACTAGCTTCTTGCAGTCTTTCGGCATTGAGCATGCCTCAGGAGGGGAAAAAACACAGACACTATGAATCGTCGATTCCTAGGAAAAAATGGGAAACAATTGGAAGTGGGGGGAAGACAACAAAAAACACAAAATATGGTGAAAGTGTGGGGAATCCTGTGATTTGTGTGTGCTTATTTGCGTGCCCCAGGGCCCCTTCGATGCTGGCCCTTGCCAGAGATCTCGACGGTGCCTCGGCCATCGACCTCTGCCTCCGACCAGGGGGGCGCGCCTGCGGCCCGGCCCCCCTCCCGCGGGCGCCCCGTCTCACGCGCCCGGAAAAAGCATCTGCGGGCGGCGAGCCGCCCGCTCCCCGTGTGATCGCCTGGTCCTCGCTCGCCGAAGCAGTGCGTGCGAGGAGCACGGGGAGGACGGTCGACCCCGCAGAGTAAGGATGGGCAACCTTCCCAGGGGTACTCACCAGTTTGAAACACGTCCCTATCCCTGTGTTTGACATCACCTCACCTCGATGCCGATCTTGAGGATTCCCTCAGTTTCTGATGGCCTGTCCCTAAGATTGTCCTCGCTTTTTGCTCGCCCATCTTAGGGATAGGGATAGGTTCGAGGCTGGTTAGATACCCTTGCATCCTTGCCTCCTCGGCCCATCCTTGGCCGCTGTTGTTGGCCGCGGCCCGCTCGAAGAACTTCGCCATGGCGTCCCAGGCCCTGGCATCCTCATCGCGCATCCTTGCTCTGCGGGTTGATTGTAATCCGTCCCTGCTCAGCACGAACGACGTGGATGGGTACGGAAAGAGTGGGTACGATGCCCAACAGCGGTTCCTGTCCACTCTGAACAGGGCTCGCTGTCCGCGGCGCCGCGGCCTGTGTCCATTTGAGACAGAAGGCCGCCTGCCCAACAGCGGCCGCTGTTGGTTTGGCACAACTCTTGTTGTTGGGCATTGTACCCATGTCTTCCGTACCCGTCTCGGGCGTCCAAACCTACGGTCGCCCACAAGACACCATTCTCCCCCAGCATCCCCGCCCACCCGCTCCCCTCTCGGATTCGTGTCCGGCCCGACCGCCTTCTGGCGAGGTGGTGGACCACGTGAAGAACAGCTCGCTGCTGGAGAGGACGCAGGAGCCCCGCCGATGCGCTGCAGGCAGTCGCGGAGTGCGCATCGTCTCGGATACGCCGAGGGAGGCAGATGGAGGAGAGGCTACCTGGACTGGAAGGGGGGGCGGAGAGAGGATCGGAGATCATGGACCAGGCTCCCAGGTGCACGAGCAGGCTGCTGGCCGCTTGGGGGCTATTGATCTCGAGGGACCGGGCTGAAGGGGGGGGCACGTCTTGGCGCGGGCAGGACCCCGGCGCTCGCCTCTTGTGCATGGGGCGAGCGAGGAAGAGAGGCTGGACTTCTGGAGGGAGCAGGGCGGAGGAGGCAGAGCGGGAAGGATCCGCAGTGGAATCTTTAGCCCCTGCCCCCAGACCTCCTCGCGTCGTGAAAAAATCACGACGGGAGGTTTTTCGCTATTTTCGGCCTCCGGCGGCCCTCACCGGGCCTCGGGACTGTCAAAAAACGACTCAGGACGAAGAACCGGTCCCGGGGAAAGGGTCCAGACCTCAGGGGGTCGACGTTGTGAAAAAATCACGACGTCGGGGGTCTGGGCCTCAAGTGCTGGCGAACCTCGGTGGCCGACGGCGCAACTCGCCTCGCTGATCGTTTGCGTGCCGGGGTCGGTGCTCGTCGTTCTGCTGGGTGTCGCGCGGGGCAGAGACGGTGGCGCCCGTGCGCGGTCGGATGCGCCCGGATGCCGGGCGACGTGGAGCCAGTCCGGGGATTATCATTCACGCATGGTTTTGCCTGTTGTGTTGCCCTGCTTTGCCAGAGACTTCCTGGGGGCGCGCCAGGGGGCGACGTGACGTCTCGACGCGCGGGCGTTCACAGGCCCCCGTTTGGGGACCACTTCAGGAGGGGCAACAAACACACAGACACAATGATCCGTCGATTCCCTGAAACAAATATGCGAAAACATGGGAAGTGTGGATGGGGAAGACAGAAACCCAGAAAAATACGGTGAGTCTATTTATTTGTGTGTATTTATTTGTGCGTATTTATTCGACATTGGGATTTGTGTGTGTGTGTGTTTATTTGTGCGTATTTATTTGAAACTGGGATTTGTGTGTATGTATTTGTGTGTTTGTGGGCCCCTTCAAAATATTTTGAGAGCTCCGCCTCGGGAGCTTTGGTTTCCCCGGAAGGCTGCCGCGCGGGCCGAGCTCCCCTCGTTGGGATTTGGCCCGCGCGCGCAGGCAGTGGAGGCCCATGCCAAGATGCGCCCTGCTTGCCTTCAGGGTGCCCCTGGGTTTCCTGTGGACGATTTGGTTTTACCATTTTCCAATATGTTGGGAGTATTTTTGGAGCATTTGATATTTGTCGGCCAAAATCCCCCTGTAGGGGGACATGCCCGACCTAAAGGCATGACCCGACAGCAAGGGTGCAACGTCAAGGGGGGAGAGGCCAAGGTTAAGTCGGGCCTGTCCCTCTACAGGGGGAATATCCAAAAATAGTCAAAACATAGTGTGGGGACTATTTTTCTAGTATTTCTTGGCCATTTGGGAGTACTTGTGTTGGCGATGTATTATTTGTTGTCGAAAATTCCCCTGTAGGGGGACAGGCCCGACTTAAAGGCTAAGGAGGGGCGTAACGACCCCCCTTCGCGATAGCCCACCCCACCCAGGAGCGTGCAGTCTTGCTGTCGGGGTCCTGCAGCTGAAGGGGCCCTCGGACACACAAATAAATAAACACAAATAGTAGGATTCCCCATATTTTCAAATATTTTCTTGGTTTTTGTCTTCCCCCCAGCTTCCCATATGTTCCAAACTTTTCTTGGGAATCTACGATTAATTGTGTCTGTCTGTATTTCCCCTTCCTGAGTAGCGGAGGCCCATGCCAAGGAACACCCTGCTTGCCTTCAGGGTGCCCTGGGTTTCTTGGGTTTCGATGGTCTTGCTGTGGAGAGCGCGACGTTCCCACACCAACACTCGATGGACAGCCTGGGGTCTCAGGGTCGGGCTTCCTGCGGAAGGTTTCATGTGGACTGGCCTCCGCTGCAGTTTCCGGTCTTCGCGTGTGCGGCAACCGTCCACAGTTCAAGCTGACGAGTCCTTCAGCCCCATTTGTCTGTCAGTTGATGTCACCGCGCGCTCCAAAGCACTGACCCTTGGGCGAAACGATCTTGCATTGCCAAATGTCGGCCGCAGTGTCGATGGAGCGCCTTTGTCACTGTAGTGAAAAACTGCTTTGCAGTCAACCTGCATACTAAGGATGAGAAATGTTCTTCGGCTAATCCTTAGCAGCTTTCGCTGGCCGCGCCCCGCTCGCAAAGTGGTGACATGGCCGTCCAAGGCCCTTGTATTCTTTTCGTGCGTCCTTATTGTACGAGTTGACTGTCTCCATGCTGGTCGACCAAACACCCAGGACAAGGGCAGGGGTAACGACTTCTCCACGCAAAAAGGAAAGAGGGAGAGAGGGAGTGGAGGGAGGGAATGGAAGGGAGGGACAACTTTTGTTGTGCTGTCTGGAAGCAGGCTTTGCCAAACGCACTCCTCGAAAGGGATATGGACAAAGATATGAGAAGGTAAAGCAACACAACCATACAGAAGCAAGACAACCAACATATTCCCGAAGGGGGGGCATCGGGTGGGAGGGTGGACGAGGGGCACAGCCAGGAGTGGAAGAGCAGAGCGGTCGCGGGAGGCCCCCCCTGGGGGCTGGCTGGTACACGGAGAGAGGGAGAGAGAGAGAGAGAGAGAGAAAACAAAAAAAAAGAGAGAGAGAGAGAGAACAACAAAAAAAGCGAGGGAGAGAGAGAGAGAGAGAGAGAGACAAACAAAAACAACAACAACACAAAAAACGAGAGAGAGAGAGAGAGAGAGAGTGGGGGGGGAGCAGCAGGAGGCGCGCTGTGCGGAACGGGTAGGCAATTCGTGGCGGGGGCCATGAGATCTCCCCAGATTTCATGGCGCCTCTTCTCGTGTCGTTGCGTCCCTGCCCCCCCCCCCCTGGGCCGAGCGCATTCCGCTGGCCCTGGCCATGATTTGCTTCCCCCCTCTTGGACGCCCCCCTCTTGGCCGCCTCCGAGGGAGAGAGAGAGAGAGAGAGAGAGAAAGAGAGAGAGAGAGAGAGAGATGGAGAGAGATAGAGAGAGAGAGAGAGAGTGGGTGGGAGCAGCAGGAGGCGCGCTGCACGGAACGGGGGTCACCGGGCTCAGGGGCAGCGGCACCCATCGGTCGTTGAAAAAGAAGGTATCTCTGGATCCCATCTTTAGCCGCCTTCCTGCTTCAGCAGCCGAGTGGTTCTCCTTCTTGCCTCCTCTTCAGGAGGCGGGCGGAAACCCAATCTACTTTCGACGCCTTCCTACTTCATGGTGCGACCTACTTCTTCCGACCCATGGGTATGGTCGGGAACTCTGGGGTACCGTGCCGATCCGCTGGTTCTGGCCCACCACGCTTCGGCGCGACCACTTCCCATGCCCCATGGCTTCACCTTCGCGAGCCTCTCCGAGCCTCCCATCCGCGTCCAAGGCACAGCCTGTTGCCAGGGCCGCCGCGGCGTTACGCCAAGCAAACGTTCCCGTCCGTAGGAGGGGACACGCACAGGATGGATGCATCGACCCCCATTCGCTCATTCATCCCCGATAGGGGCCCGACAGCACTTTCCCCTGCCATGGAGGTTCGGATTCCATATCGGGGGCCCACCATTGATCAGTCGGCGACGTGTCGTCCACTCAAGCTCGATACTTCCCCGTCCCGAGCCAGTCCTCCTATCGTTGTCCCTCGTGGCCCTGGGCATCCGACAAAGCAGCATGCGCGTCAAGTGAGAGATCAGCTTGCCAGGAAGCGCCCCCCGTGGAGCTTTCGTAACCCCGAAGACCTGCAGACACCACGAGGCACCGCAGCGAGCTCAACGATCGACGGCAAGTGTAGGGGAACGAACAACGACACAAGCATCAAATCTTGGAGGTCCGCCCGGATTTCTCGCATCGGCGCTGCACCGCCCTGGTCTCCCTGACATGTGCCCTGGCAGGATCTCTGACAGCAGAATTTGTCCTAACGCACGTGCCGATGGTATAGTGTGTCCCTCCGCGACCCACCCGTCACCCACCCGCGACCCTGCCCGCGACCCACCCGCGACCCACTGTCGACCCGGCCCGCGACCCACCTGCGACCCAACCCGTGACCCACCCACATTGCTTTCGCAAAAAATCGGCGCCTGCGGTGGGCTCGTTGTGCAGCTCGAGAAATGCTGCGCCTGCGGCGGGCTTCGTCAGAGCCTCGCAGACTGCCGACGCCGCCCCAGGGCTCCCGCCCCAGGGCCCCCAGGGCTCTTATCCGCGACTGCGGGGTGCTACGTGTAGTTTTCCCCCCCGCGGCCCCAGGGCTCCCGAGACGGCCGCACGGAAGGTGGGCCCGGGGCCCAACAGAGACGGCCCACGGAGGCCCTGCATCGAGGAGAAGCCAGTCGCGGGAGGCCGGAGCGGACGCGCACCGTCGGAGACCCGGGGAGGGCTCCCCGCCAGGCAAGATCGGCCACGCGCAGAGGGGGGCTGAAGATCACAATCGACATTCGGATCGGTGAAGGCCCTTTCCTGGCCCATGTCTCTCCCTCTTTGATGGTGTATCGTAGGCGAAGTCCGGTGCGTTGAAGACCCTTTCCTGGCCCGCGTCTCCCTTTTATGGGACCTCGTGATCGAAATTCGGAGCGTTGCAAGGGCACTTCCCTGGCTCATATAGACCGTCGGGGATCTTTACAGGGTTTAAGGATGGGGTTCTCCCTGGTTCAGAGGTCGGCCACGCGCTGAGGGGGTAGGGGGAGGGGGGAAGGCTTCGTAGAAGCATCCCTGCTTCTTAGAAGGTGCGGGCCTTGTCTGTAGATGTGAGGCCGGCGCCTTCTAAGGAGCAGCCTCCTCCCAGGAGCCCTCCCCCCTCCCCCCCCCCCCCCTCCCCCCCCCCCTACCTCCCCTAGCCAACAAGACGCCTCTAGCGCCCCCCTCCTGCCAGGACGCCCTGGATCAGACCGGCGATTGGGCCGCGGACGTGTCCCAGGCGGGCGGGGGCGCCGCGGTGGGCCAGAGCCTGTGGCCTCCTCTCGGGCGGCCTCGACCCGTGCCCGCCGTCGAGGGTGGCACGTGTGGGTGGCGCTCTGCTTGGGGGAGGGCCAGTGGATGCAACGCCAGTTTACAGTGCAACTCTTGGGAGGCTCATCCAGGCCTCTCAGATGGGGTCGACGCAAATGGGGTCGGAGGGTCGCGCCGCATCGCCAATGCATCGGCGATGCGGCTCAGTGTGGGGCCCAATTTTCTCCACGCCGACGTCGCCGATGCATCGCTGACGTCGCCAGTGCATGGCTACATCGCCGATGCATCGCCGATGCATCGCCGATGTATCAGCGATGCGGTGAGATCCTCCGATCCGATCTACTCGGATCCCATCTCGGAAGCCTCTAGGGCAGTTCAGTATCGGCGCTGGCGCATCCATGGTCGCGCGGGTTTCTTGGATCTGCGTTGTGCCCCTCTCAAGCATGCGGAGCGCGCCAGGGACGGCGCCAGAGGCGCCGCTAGCAGGGCGCAACGGAGATCAAAGACATCCACGCGGACCGTCGAGATTTGATGTTCATGCTGGCTTCTCTTCCTCCATGAATTGATCGGGCTTGATCTTGGGCTGAATCTGGGCTGATCCGGCTCCCTGGCATCTGCTGATCGGGCGCAGCCCCGAGTGGTTCTCACGAGCTGATTTCTCGAAGGTGGTCCTTCGCGCTTCGCGTCGCCTGTGGGCCTCCTTGAGGTCTCCTCGTCGCTACGGCGGCGTACCCGCCTCGGAGAAGCTGCGCAGGATGGACCCGGGAGGTGCGGGAGGGGGAGGAGGAGGAGGTAAAAGAGGACCTGGGCCCACCCTGTAAGCTCGAGGAAGTGGGGGTGAGCGGAGGGCGATGGGGACCAACCAGGGGCAGAGGAGGAGGGAGAGGAGGAGGAGGAGGAGGTGGAGGAGGAGGAGGAGGATGAGGAAGAGGAGGAGGTGGAAGAGGAGTAGGAAGAGGGGCAGAGGAGGAGTGGAGGAGGAGGGGAGGAGGATGAGAGGAGGATGAGGAGGACAGGATGAGGAGGAAAGGGGGAGGAGGAGGAAGAGGGGGAGGAGGAGGAGGAGGAGGAGGAGGAGGAGGAGGAGGAGGAGGAGGAGGAGGAGGAGGAGGAGGAGGAGGAGGAGGAGGTGAGGAGGAGGAGGAGAGAGGAGGAGGGAGGAGGGAGGAGGAGGAGGAGGAGGAGGAGGAGGGAAGGGGAGGGAGGGGGAGGGGGAGGAGGAAGCAAGCTAGGTGCGCTCGCGTCATATCTGACGTCCTACCCCTCCCTCCCATCCCTTACCATGGCGCTGATTTTCTCTATCCGCGGACGCGTGTCGTAGCGGACCTGTGGCTCCGCGCGCGCGTGCGTAGTGGGTGGTGGTGCGCGTGCGTGCGTGCGTGCGTTTGTGCGTGGTTGTGCTTGTGGTGGTGGTGGTGCTGGTGGTGGTGGTGTTGGTGGTGGTGGTGGTGGTGTGTGTGCGTGTATGCGCGTGTGCTGTGGTGTGACGTGGTGTGGCGTCTTGGTGGTTTGGTGGTGGGCCAGGTTCGTGCGTGCGTGATGGCGGTGGTGGTGGTGGCGGTGGTGGTGGTGGTGGTGTGTGTGCGTGTGTGTGTGTGTGCGTGTGTATGTGTGTTTGTGTTTGTGTGTGTGTGTGCGTGCGTGCGTGCGTGTGTGTCTGTGTGCGCGCGCGTGTGATGTGGTGTGACGCGGTGTAGCGTGGTGGTGGTGGGTGGGGTAGTGGGGTGGTGGTGGCGGTGCGCGTGCGTGCGTGCGTGCGTGCGTGCGTTGGTGGGTGGAAGTGGCGGTGGGCGGGGCGGGGCGCGGTGCGGTGGTGGCGGGCGGATGGGCGCGCGAGAAAGAGGCCCGCGCTGGGGCGAGAACGCCATCCTGAACGACGGAGGCAAAACACCGATCCGAAAATGAGACCCACGCTGCAGCGGGAGAACGATTCGAAACGAGCGGGGCCCGAAAATGAGGCCGGCGCCTCAGCGAGAGCAGCATTTTGAAAAAAATGCAGGCGGAAACCCAACTCCCGGGAATCCTGTGTGTACAAAAGCAGGACGCGGGGGGGGGGGGGGGCAACACTCCCAGCACGTCATCAGGGGAAGAGGGAGAGTAGTATTCATATTGAGTAATTGTAGAGAGGGGCAGGCGGATAGCGGGGAAGGAGGCGATCCCGAGCGGATCTGGGCTCGGCTGGCAGGCCGCCGCTGTCCCTCGCTGCAGCTGGCCCTCTGCTCCTACCTGCGCACTTCCCGTCCCTAGATGGTAAGCGCTGGCCTGCGCACGACCGGAGGAGGCTGGCCTGCACGCTTTGGGCGCATGCCGCCATCTAAGCAACGCGCGCAAGCACTCAGAGGAGGAAGAGGTACCGATACCACCCGTCGCCCGGTTTGGCCTCTTGGAAGGCCCTCGTCGCCATCAATGGATTCGCCTCGAAATCCCAGGCAAAACTAATTTTTCATCGGTCCATACCTCTTGGTCACCAGCGGCGATCGTGTCCATATCCGCGCCTTCGCTGTCTGCATTCTGTGGCGCAAGCCCGCGGATACGCGGTGCCTATGATAGTTCCTCGCGGGGCATCCGCGAATGATGTCTCAGGTTGTGTCCGCATCATCCGCATCATTGTATGTATTTTGTTGGCTTCGCCATCAGCTGCGGGACGCAGTGCGAAGCGTCTTCGGGCCAGCTCACCCGAGTTGGCTCTCCGCTCGGTTACCCCAGTGCCCTAGAAAATATAGTTACCCTCCTCACCCATCATATGATGATTACCTCAGGGCAAGACACTTTTGGTAAGCGGGGGCCGTTGGCGAGTCCAAACCTTTTTCTGTTCACCGGGCCAAGTGCCAATACCTCCTCGCACGACCACCACTACTACGACCACCGATATTACTACCGATACGTCTACTACCACTACTCCTGCTAGTATTCGTATTACTACTACTATTATTCCTACAACAACAACAATTACTACTACTACTACTACTACTACTACTACCACCACCACGAGTACTGCTAACCTGATTACTCATACGTTTTTTTTCTTCGGCGATTGGTGCTACAACCGTTATGATTAGTACTACCATTATTTTCACATTGTTACTACGACTAGTGCTACTACTACTACTACTTCTACTTCTACTTTTATTTCTTTGACTACTACTACTACTACTACTACTACTACTACCACTACTACTACTACTACTATTGCTACTGCTACTACGTCTGCTATTACTACCACTACTACTACCACTACTACTACTACTACTACTACTACTACTACTACTACTACTACGACCTACTACTACCCCTAGCACGGTCACTCGCTTCACGACTACAACTATACGAACTACTACTGAATTATCACTACCACTATTACTACTGCTACTACTATAAGTATTACGACTGGTAGTAGTAGTAGTAGTACTACTACTACTACCTTTCCTCCACGACGACTACTACTACTACTATTATTATTACTACTACTATTACTACTACAACTACTACTACTACTACTATTATTACTACTACTTCTTCTACTACTACTACTACTACTACTACTACTACTACTACTACTACGACTACTAGGACTACTACCACCACTACTACTACTACTACTACTACTACCACTACTACTACCACTACTACTACTACTACGATTACTTCTACTACTATAACTATTACCACTACTACCGCTACTACGAGTTCTGCAACCGTTACTACTTCAATCCATCTCTTACTGACACTTACTGCTACTACAACTACTACTACTACTACTACTTCTACTACTACTACTCCTACTACTACCACCACCACGAGGACTACTACGTCTAGTTTTTCTTCGGCTACTACTACGAGTACCACTTCTAATACTACGACTGCCCCCTTTCATCATACTACCACTTCTACTACTACTACTACTACTACTACTACTACTACTACTACTACTACTACTACTACGACTACGACTGCCACTATATGTCGCACGACTAGTAGCAATATTGTAGCGATCAGTACCACACCGACTACTACGATGAATACTGCGACTACTACTACTTTTGCGGCCAGTATTCTTACGACGATTACTGTTGTTACCATTTTTTCGCATTGGTACTACAGCCATTACCACTACTACTACCACTACTGCTACTACAACCTGTTATCACTACTTCTAAATTTCGGTTTCTTACTGCTCGTCAGATTATTGGTATTAAATCTACCACTACATACTACTACTTCTTCTACGAATACTACTACTACTACTACTACGACTACGACTACGACTACTACTACCACCACCACTACCACTACTACTGCTACTGCGACTGCTGCACCGATTACTACTTCAATACATCTACTACTACGACTACTACTACTACTACTATTACTACTACTACTACTACTACTACTACTACTACTGCTACTACTACTTTTATTGCTGCTACTACTACTTCTACGACTACTACTACTACTACTACTACTACTGCTACTACTACTACTACTACTACTACTACTACTACTCCCGCGAGGACCACTACGTCTAGTTATTTCTACGACTACTACGACTACCACTTCTAATGCAACTACTGTTCCGTTTACTATACAAGAATTAGTACTACTCTTACTACTACTTCTACTACTAGTAGTATATTTTAACGCTTGCTACTACCACTACGTTTACTGATACTGTAGCGATGACTACCACTACGACAACTACGATTAATACTACGAGTACTACTACTACTACTACTACTACTACTACTACTACTACTACTGCTGCTTTTTCTTCTACTACTACTACTACTACTACTACTACGACTACTACTACTACTACTACTACGACTACTACCACTACTACTACTACTACTGCTACTACTACTACTACTACTACTCCTACTACTACTACTACTACTACTACTACTACTACTACTACTACTACTACTACTACTACTACTACTACTACTACTACTACTACTACTACTACTACTATTTGGGGGCCTTAGGGCCATATTGAATTCTGC